TTCCTTGCTTGACGTTTATAAGTTTTTAAGTGGTTCTCATCAGGCCTTATTTAAGCTAAGTTATAATAAAAGTTTTATAACTTTATTGGATATATACAATTAAGCTTCAGACTACTTTTTATTTGAGCTCAATTCAGGTTAATTAAGAATTAAGTTGAAAGTAATGGCCAATATATATTATTATATAAAGCATTTTCACTTAAATAATTTTTGAAGTTTTATGATAAAATCATTATTATTGTATTTGTGTATTATGCAAAAAAAGTATATATTCATAATTAAACAGTGTACATATTTAAATTCTTTTTCAAATAAACATTTTTATATCTTTTTTTAATATCTTTTTTCATAATTTTTTTATAATAGTATTGAATTTTTCTATATTCAATTTGGTAAAGCGCATCAGAACCTGGTGGATATTTTGCACTATATAAATACTATTTATTTATTTATTTATTTATATTTATTTATTATCATTTCTCTGTGTCGACTGAACAACTTTAGACTGATAAGAAGTACCGAATTTTGCTGGTGCTGAATGAAAAAGAGGAACTGCTTGCAGTCTATTGAATTACATACAAATTACTGTAAACTGATCACCTCCTCTAGATTAAATGCCGGAGGGGAGGGAGGAGGGGCGTACTCAATCCCAACTCTGGTGGGGGTGTGCCGCATAACCGTCAAAACCCTTACCCTATTCAGACCATTTTTTGTGATTTTACATAACCTATTTGCTATACGGGTATGTTCTGCAGGATAGGGTCCCTTTTTCGGAGCTCCAAGTCTGGGATAGGGTATCATTTTTAGCCCATTTAAGTAGTATCTAAGATAAAAACTATTATTTAGAAACTATTTATAGGGGTTTTGTTTCGTGAACATACTGTAAGCTTTCTAATGTTAACATTATTGTAATTTATAGACCATATGAAAAAGGGCATGGCTATCATAACAACTTAGTTTATAGGATTTTTATTGTATAATTGCTACCTGTTGAGACAGCGCATTACAATGAATGAGATCTGAATGTTTGAATGCCCTTTACATATAAGGACCAGAAATTACAGGTGTTTGAAATTGTAAAGGTTAGAGTGAAACTCAGTATGGCCTGAATGGCCTGACCAGCCTCGTTTTCACATTTTTTTATATTTCAAATGCTCATAACTCTGCTGATATTGAATCAACATTTCAAACTAAAACGCCGCCAGTTTAATAGTTAAGATATATACTCCTTCTTACGGTGAAAACAAAAATTTGGACCATTGAATGTGCTCATTTCCCAGTCTTCTGCTTGTTTTTCATATGGTTCAATAATTTTTATTTACAAAAAATTGTAAATCTGTGAAAACGTCCAGTATATAGACTGGGCTA